GTGATGAGATGGAGGAGCCACTGGCAATTCACTGTGACTTGTTTGTGAAGCACTTTGCAGATAAGATCGCTCACGTCCAATCTAATTTAGACTATTACTGTCATGTGGGATACGAAATGTGTCAAGTGCACCACCTAGTTGTTTTTCTTGTGATCAGTTTCAGCTTTTGCAGACCAATGATGCAGACAAGATACTTGGAGGGGTGCAACTAACCATGTGCTCACTCAACCCCTTGCCCTTTGTGGCTTATTAAATCAATCTGGGAAGGGATGACTGGTTGGGTCCAGGGAATTATTAATGCTTCTTTTAAATCTGGGACAGTTCCCACTGCCTTGGAAGAGGCAGGTGGTAAAACCATTCCTTAAGAAGCCTTCCCTGGACTTGCACGATTTGAATAACTATCTCCCTTTCTGTTGCTAATATTCCCTTTCTGGGAAATGTATTCAAGCGGGCAGTGGTGTTGCAACTCCAGGCTTCCTTGGAAGAAAGTGATTATAAAGACCCATTTTAGTCTGGCTTCAGGCCTGGGTTTGGAATGGAAACCTCCTTGGTTGCTCTGGCATACAACCTACACCAAGAGATAGGCGGGGGAATCTATTGATTCTCTTGGACTTGTTGGTGGCTTTTGATACCATCCACCATGGAATCCTTCTGAAGCACCTAGTGGAGTTGCTGATACCCTAGTGGGTACCAGAGGTGCGGTTTTGCAGTGGTTCCAGTTTTACCTGTCAGGACACTTTCATAAGGTGGCGCTAGGGAGCTACTGTTTGACCTGTGGTGATTCCATCTGCTGTTTAACATCTACATAAAACCACTGGGAGAGGGCGTAAGGAAATTTGGAAGTCAGGGCCATCTATATGTAGATGATACCCAATTCTATTTCTCTGCAACATTGGATCCAGTTGTGGCAGCAACTAATCAGAACTGGATGTAAACTAGCAGTGAAGGACTAGATGAGGTAGAATAAGATAAAGTTGAATCCAGATAAAACCAAGGTCCTGTGGCTCAGAATCCATCTGGCAGAAACATTGTGTGTTATCTGTTCTGGACAGGGTTCGCATTCTCCCTGAAGGAACAGGTACGCAGCTTGGGAGTCCTTCTGGACCCTTTTCTAGTATTTGAGAATTAGATTTCCTTGGTGGCCAGGAGTGCTTTTGGGAAGCTCTGGCTGATCCGCCAGCTGCGACCTTTCCTGATTCAGAATGACCTAGCCACAGTAATTCATGCCCTTGTCACATCCCAATTGGACTAGTGCAACGCGCTCTATGTGGGGCTGCCTCTGAAGAGTCTTTGGAAACTTCAGCTGGTCTAGAATGTGGTTGCTCAAGTTCTAATTGACACTCCCTGTATGGAGCACATCATGCTGGTGCTCCGGCAGCTGCACTGACTTCTAGTATGTTTCCAGGCATAATTCAAGGTTATGACCTATAAAGCCCTAAATGGTTTCGGACCAGGGTACTTGAAAGACCGTCTTCTCCCTTATGACCTGCTTGGGGATTGAGGTCATCTGGGGAGGCTCTGCTCCATGTTCCTCTACTTATGGAAATAAGGCTGACATCTACGCTGAGCAGGGCTTTGGCTCCCAGGCTATGGAACTCCCTTCTTGGGACGTTCACCTGGCGCCAACGCTAGTATTGTTTTGGTACCAGGCTAAAGCTACCTTTTTTACCTTTATTGGGAGCTTCAGTTTGGGGGGATACGCTGCTCCTTTTGATATGTCTCAGTAGGTTTGATGTCCTCTTGGGGTTCTTTTATTTTACTTTAAAAAAAAAATATATTGTGTTCTAAAATTTTATAAGCCACCTCGAATATTTTAAAGAGGGAGAGGCAGGGTAAAACTATTTATAAACAAATGACCCATTGGTCCCTGGCTATAAAATGGCTCTTAGAGAGGCGGGATAAAAATATACATAAATTCTGTGCTAAATGAGTATTTATCTTTCATCTTTTACCCTTCCTTTTTGTTAGTAGTTTAGTGCCCTCCTGACTTCTCTGGCCAGCCTGTGCCTCCTTTCTCAGGCACAGGGGAAAAACATCTGAACTAAACATCCCCCTTTCTCCACAGAAGGTGGACAAAACTAAACTAATTTGCCCTATTCCACTTTGCTTTCAGAACCTTCTACCGGTCTTCTTTCAGTCTTGGGACAGAAAGGATATCATGTAGAATAGTGATAGAAATGTAGCCGTGTTAGTCTGGGGTAGTTGAAGCAAAATGCAGGACAATGTAGCACTTTAAAGACTAACAAGATGGTTTATTAGATGATGAGCTTTCGTGGGCCAGACCCACTTCCTCAGATCAAAAAGGATATCATGGACATTCTTTTTCTTCTTCAGCTTGCTTCCAAGGTTTCCTGAAGTCACCTATCATCTGTGAGATATAACACAACAGTGTCATTATTGCCAATTTCAACCATCCATGGATCCTTGCCCATTGACTTCAAAAGCCTAAGGAAGACAGTAAAAGCCAGTCTGCTGTCCATTTGTCCGTTGCAAAATGTTCATTTAATGCTTCTGAACATGGAATCCTCAACAAGAATGGTCTGTCTCCCTTTAACAGTTAGGGATATGTTTGTGGTCAGGCTTGCTTTTTTACAGGTTGGGCCAGGCTGCCATCCACAGGGGTGGTGTCCCATTCATCCTTCCATTCTCTTGAACCAGCTGGATCCTCAGAGATGTGATATCTTTCACAGTTCCCTGTCAAAAACTTGGTATCAACTAGAAACTTCTGGCTAAGTGGAATTCCTCCTGCTCCACTTCTCTGGTGGCCACAGCTTATCCATCCTCGTCTATGTAGAATAATGCCTTTATTTCTTGCCTTTAACAACTGCTAAGCCTCCTCTCTTTGCCTCATTGGTGACCTTTCTTCTTTGAACCTTGCACACTGATGTTGCCTGAACTTGGCTGTCTGGAAGCTTCTCAGCTTTTGTGATTCTCAGTTATGTCTCTACTTGCCCTCCATTCCAAGATTCTTCTCCTCAAGCACAGCCACCAACATGCACTTCATACAAAAGAAGGCCTTTCTGACTTCAAGCAGAAAAAAAAATAGCATATCCACTGTAGGTCACCACCTCTGTTCCACTGCTGGTTATCTTGAAATTGCATGTAGTGGTGTGTCTAGACTACATGGCTCCGTCAACGGAGCCACATAGAGGAGCTTACTAGACATAGCAAAATGAAGTGGCAATTTAAATAATTGCCGCTTCATTTACATCAAAATGGCCACCACGCTGTGCCAATCAGCTGATTGTTGGCACAGCGCGCTAGTCTAGACGAGGATCAGCTGACACCAGAACCCTTTGTCATCAGACCCTTTATGCCTTGTGAAACAAGGCTTACAGGATCTGATGACAAAGGGTTCTGGGGTTGGCTGATCCCCGTCTAGACTACCGTGCTGTGCCAACAATCAGCTGATTGGCACAGCGTGGTGGCCATTTTGATGTAAATGAAGCGGCAATTATTTAAATTGCCACTTCATTTTGCTATGTCTAGTAAACTCATCTACATGGTTCCGTCGACAGAGCCATGTAGTCTAGACGCACCCTAGGAGAAAACTTGGAAGGAAAGCCTCTCACACATTCCTCCTCCCCACGTATTGTTAAAAATATTTTTCCTTTGAAGCATCAGGTATTACTATGGCTGGAAATGGGAGATTGAAGAGGAAAGGCAAGGGCTCTGAGACAACACTAAGCATTCTCTCTCAAGTAGGTTCTTGCTCATGTGCTCATGGTCTGACTGGACTGTCTTATGTGGAGCTGGGAAGGAATTTTCTCTCAGATCAAATTGGCAGGGACCTTGGGCTTGGGGATTGGTTTTGTTTTCCTGCCTTCTGCAACGTGAGCATGCATGTCACTTTCCAAGATCATCATTAAACATTTCCCTTCTACTGTGGGAGACTTGGGTACTGGTGCATCTCTATTCCTCCTATTCTCTAGGGATATGCCACGGGCAGTCAGTTGCTTGTGGTCTATCATACGTTGGTCCAAGTTTGCTCGTTGGACTGTGTGTGCTAGTATAGGTTGATGTTGATAGCCTGTAAAATACAGGAAGTCATGAAAATGATCTGGTGGTCCTTTTTGGCCTTAAGCTCTATGACTCTGAAATGGCACAAATTGTTTACAGGTTTTATACATTGCGCTCAGCTCCAGAAATTAATGTGTAGGAGGGATTCCTGGTGGGTCCAGTTACTTTATATCACGTTTATCCAGCTGGACTTTCCAGTCTGGTAGGGAAGCATTTGTGATCAGTCTTTTTGTGGCTGGGGGAGGGAAAAGTGGAATACGCACAAGGACCATGACTCAAAGAAGGACTCCATGTCCCTACACTGGTTCACAATTCATGGAAGTAAAAATAGATCTGCATATTTTTCAAACTCTCCAAGGTCTTGTTTTCTCTGGCCCTATACAAATCTATTACCTTGTCAATTTCACGGTGTTCTTCCCAAATGTTACTAAATTACCACTTTTCTTCAAGTTGAACCTTGTAATCTCCCTGTTCCTTTAAGCCTACAATTGGCACTAGACAATGCTAACCTCCCTTTTCCCTTGCTACTATATCATTCTATTCTCCCCTGGTTACCACAAGAATACTTACTTCAACCTTTATCATTTTCACAATTCAACTCTTTTTACTTTCATTGTACATCATTCTCCCTTTGTATGAGTCACTGTACTCAAACTCTTCAAAGCATTCTTTCTACTCTCCCTGTAACTAAAGTGTTCTGTGATAGTTTATATTGAAATTAACTCTAAAGTAAAAATATCATTTTACAGTTATATACTGTACTAAATGGATACAGCATGTTTGTCTTTATCAATAAAAGGGTTATTCATATGTAGTATCGAATATTAACATTTAACTGTAGTTTATTTTAAAATATCACATCAAGCATTAGTAATAAATTTATACTCAATTTCCTTCTCAACATTTTAAACATACATAAATGAAGATGAGCCCCTCAGAGCTGCTTCTACCATTACATTAACATTTTTCCTTAGCCTTACCCTCCTCTTTGCATTTCTCTCTCCACAGAAGATTATCCTCAGCCAGAATTCTCCAGTAACGACACGTCTGTGCTGCCTGCAGAAGGTCCTTGGGTTCCAGGAATGAAAGCACATATAGTGCCAGCTGTGAAGAGGTAGGAGATTAAACCCCATCATTCAGAGAACACAGAAACTGAGAACCAGATAGTCAAAATAGATATATGCTAGGCAGTGCTCCCTTAGCCTTCATATCATAGACATAGCCTAATGGACTACCTATATCAATTGTAGACTATTTCAGAAGAACTTTCCTTAAGTTGTATGTTCACAATGGAGGTTTCTTGAATCTAGTACTTGCTTCTCCATTGAGCTGACAGACTTTGTGTGGTTGACATATAGAATATACTGAAAGATATCTTTCTACCCAATGGGTTGCCTGGGGATTAAAATAAGGAGACTGGCATTTTGGAATCTTGTTGCTGGGGAATTTAATTATATAAGTAACATTAACAGAGTACAGGTTGACATTCTGAAATCTGGACTTTCCTAGTCTGGCAACACCCCTGCTCCAGCATCGTCAGGGTGATCCCATGGGGCCAGGAACATTACCAGAGATGGGTAGGTGAAGGTGCTGGGAAGAGCCACAGGGCAAAAGCGAAACCCAGGGTGACAGCAGAGCAGGGTGGGAGGGAGCAAAGTCCCTACTCATGTGGAGAGCAGAGCCCCAGTCAGCAGTGGGATGGTCAGGAGGACAAGTGGAGACCCCAGTGCATTGACCTCCTCTGGTCTGGGACAAGTCCGGTCCCAAGGGTGTTGGACTAGGAAGGTTCAACCTATACTAACTTAATGCAGATTTAATAATGGATTAATGAATTAGAGAATGATAGATGTGTTACAAATCAAGAATACATTTTTAAATTTTTTTTTTTTTTAGGTGAAGAAGTTTGCAAACAGTATTTCATTGTCTCTTCAAAGTGTGCAGTGGATTACCATGAAAACATATGGCACAGAATATAGGCAAGAATAAATCTGGAAAATCAGTGAGAGACAAGACACTAAATAACCAGAGGAAGACATGATTCAAGAAAACAAAACTAAACTGAAAGAACTCAAATGACTTACAGTAGTACATGGAACTTATTTCAGTAACTGGGAAAGAAAAAAGTCACTAGGAGAATTTTTTTTGAAGTTTTTAAATGACCCTAAAGATGTAAACAGGCGCTTCTGAAAAATCCCACATGGTGCCTAAATATCTACAAAAATCTGGTCTTTAGCTTAGAAGCATACATTTTAATCCGAGAATTACATTATTAAGACATGACAGTTTGTCAACATTCTGTCCTCTTTAACACCAATTAACAGTGTTAAATTGACAATACTGAATACCATAATTAGCATGAAAATGTTTAAAAGGTGACAGATAATGCGTTACATAGTCAAACAGCACCCAGAGCCCAGTATGAATTGATAATCCTCACCTCTTTGGGGAGCAAGGATATAAAGTCTCGTTGAAACTGGGGCTCTATCACTTGCATCATATGTTTCACTTGTGTTGGTTCACAACTATCAATGAGTTCATCTAAAGCAAGTAACTTCTCTGGTCCACTCCAGCTCTGTGAGAGAGAAAGATATGTTCAATGTTTGTATTTTAGAATGCAATATTCATAAAGCTATGTTGCAAAAAAGTGAGTATGCAAGGTACCCAACAGCATGTTTAGACTTCCTGTGGGTAAGTACATTACCTATGCAAAATAATTTGTTAGGATTTCTGTAATGATCATTTGAAATTAGGCAAAATAAAACTGATGGAAAATGTTCAGAACCCAAACAAGTGCCAACAGAGAAGTGTAACTATTGTTTTGATGGGTGTGATCTATAACAAAAATACAGCACGAATAGTTAAAAACTGTACATGGTTTTAAAGCCAATTTAGAATGTATTGAGAGTAGAGTAATTACTGCAAGAGTATTTCCTTCAATGAGTAGTCAAATGAAATGTCCAACTTCGGCCATCAAAATGTCATTGTTTCATTAGAAACTTTAAATAGGATGTGGGCAGAAAACTAAACCAAACCACTAAGGAGCAGCTGTCTCTAAAATACATTACTTTGTTTCTTGCCCAAAGGTTACTCCAGTTATATGCTCATCTGCTACAATGTTATATTTCAGAATCACGACTGTAAACTGGTATTTTATTTTGTAAACATCAGTTTAACTAAGTAAACAGAGAATTTTGACTGGTAATTTTCTTACTTCACATTCTTACTAATGGGCATCATAAAATTTGATGACTTTAAATAGGCACTCATCTGAGAGTACAGCAGATTAGCGTCATCATTTGCAGAAAAATTAATAACAATGTATGGCATATCTGACAAGCATGTCTTTCTCAAACTCATCTGTGCTCCACAGATTTTATTTTGTTAATGTAAAAACAATCTCAAGAGAAAAAACAATAAAAAGCTATCTGATTTAACTATCGAATTACAACATGAACAAAATCTAGGAGAGAACAAAAAATGAAACTGTTTAAATAGATTCATATTCCTATTTTTGAACATATGGGGTCTTCTAGAATAGCATACGCAAGTGAATTAACACATACAAATTACATTACAGTTGAAAGGGCTGACAGAAATCTGAGAAAGCAAGATATTTTAGAATTAAGATTGATATACCACCTTAAACCTGGGCCTCAAGACCTAGATTTGCCATACTGTGTATTATGCTTTCGATTTGAAATTAGAGTATATTACTGATCATGTACTGCAATACCTAGACACAGTGAGGCAAGCTAAGGATAGAGCAGAAGTCATAAAAATAAACAGTAATTTACTGTTCTTTATGATGTAAAAAGTTGTCTTTATAATGGTTAAGATTTTTTTTTAAAGTAAATCATTATAAATATCAGGAAAACTAGCTCCTGATTTCACACTTCTTGTTTGAAAACATTGGTGATGTTTGAGGACTGGGATGTGACGTCAGAGGAGAATGAAATCTGAACCACGGCAGTCTCTGCTGACAACTGACAAGATGGTGCATGCTGCTAGAAGCATGTTTGGAATTCAGTAGCATATTTAAAAATATGGGCTCTGCCCTCCCCCCCCGCCCAAAATGTCAGAGGGATTTCAAAGATGTTCCTATTAACAGCTTTTAGAGCTTCACAATAGAACTTTTTCAGTTGGAATTCTCTCAATTGACAACTATAAATCGTACAATAATAAACCTTACTTCTGAAAGTTCTTTTAAGTAAATTAGTGTGCATACACAGCAGGCACTTATCAGCTACTTTAAAACTGTTTTATTTTTTATTCTAAGGCACTAGTTGACATTATCTAGAAATATTTGTATCATTTAATCTGACCTGTCAAACAACTTCTGAATTATGGGAAAATACACTGAAGCCACAGTATCTATGTTAGTCTCCCATAATTTCCCAAATCATTCTAATACAATTTTGTTAATAATTAATATATTAAAAATTCAAAGAACTTGAATATCAAAGTTTTGATAATGTGAATCAATAAAAATTGTTAATGACACCTAAATTTTTGCATATCAGGATAAGTAATCTTTACCCTTATCTTTACTGATAAAATACAATGTATATCTAAACTGAGGGGCACACCACCTCCTTCCCACCCTCCCTCCCACACCCTTCAAAGGGAAAAACAGACTAAGTCAGTAAAATCTATTCCTTCAACTTTATAGGATGGCTAGAGGCAACAACCTTAAGACCCTTTCAAACAATCAACTGCTAAAACTGCTAAAAGAAGTTTACTCTAGGGAGCTCTTCCTGTTGGTCTTTCATGTTTTTAAAATAAACTGGTAACCGTCAGTAAGAGATCTCTGAGGAAAAATATTTTGGTATGGAAAATTTTGTTAGAGTGAGTAGTCCTGTCAAATAAGTACAGCTATCTATGTTAATGGAGCAGAGACAATTATGTTCATCAGATTAGTATCTCTATGATCTATAGATTGTCCTGTTAGCAAAAAATGGCAGACAGAGAAGAGTGTGTATTTTGTATAAATTATATCAGGGAACATGTTTGCAAACTAGAAAAATAATTAGATGCCAGAGAGCAATGCAAAATTTCAGACCAGGGAGTCTGAGACACTTGGTATACAGCCCAGATATTCTGGATTGCTACCATTAAATTGCATACTATTACAAGGGCTAAGTTACAGATTTTCAAAACATATGTATAATTTACTTATGTGTGTCTTGAAAGCTTGTTATAGATTACCTATGATACAAAATTAAATAAATCTTTTTATGTTGTAGTTTAGAAAAATAAACCACACGATCTCTTCCTGTTCAACTTGTAGACTCAGTAGAGATTCTTGTAACTGACAACTCAAACATTTGAGATGCCTAAAAATGTTTCAGGCAAAAGAGCTCCATTAACCCCATCCAAATTGGTGGGAATCTTGTATCATGTGAGCATGAATGTTGTGATAATTCATGAACTAGTAGCCCTCCAACTGTGATATTTTAGGCCACTGTTAACTAGGTGTACAAGTATACAATTCAGCTAAATAAAAGAATGTAATTTAGCATGAAAAATATTTCTGTATAGTAAGAGGGGTACAAATGTAGCCCAAACATATTGCACTATCCTGTTTTTAGAGCTCTGTGTACACATTTGCTTTAATGAGCGTATCTTGTATTTTAATAGCATATAATAATAGGATAATGCATTGCAGTGACTGTTTGCTGCATACAGTTTTATTCTTTTGCAGAAGGCACTCCAGGGAAGTTGAGGCCTTCATATCTCGGCTTTTTAGATATGCTCAAGACATAGTGGACGATGGTAGCTCTCTCTGCCTACTACTCTTGAAAGGATTGTCTGTCTAGGGATTGTGCTCTAAACAATGCAGACTAAGGAGATTCTTGAAGGGCTTTTCTGTTCTGTGCAATTCAAGACAGGCATGATATTCTGCTTCTGACCTTAGAAAAATGATTTGCAACTCTAAAGTAAGTCATTTTGTGACAACTTATTAGATGACAATAGCTTTGTGCCAGATCATGTTAAAAGTTGTTCTGAAAAGGAAGACTACATTTCCATTGACTGCTCAACCAGGTTCATCTTCAGCCCTCGTACAATACTGGCAGAAATGCAGCTGGGGACAACTCCGCCAGTATTCAGCTTATTGAAGATCCACTTAATGAAAGTTTAACCTATGTTAGAACAATCCAGTGAAACAATCCAGAGTAAGATATATCCACGTTGCAGCAGAAAAAAACTTCCATTATTGTTCAGGTTTCATGGGCCACTTACCCTGTTTTTTTATGTTCCAAAGAAGGGCAAGTTGGTAATAATAGTATCGATGATGCATCATACAAGGTTCTAGGAAGAGACAAAAAGAAACCCCACATAATTCTCCATTCCGACACTTTAAAAGTGCTGTCAACAACATGGACCATCTTGCAAGAATGTACTCCTCTGGGTGCAAGATAAAAAGGTGGCCAATGGTTCTTTTCTTCAACATGCTTGATGATGTTGGCATCCCAGGTTCCTTATTTGAGTCAGCATTGATCCCATTTAATGCCACACTCCACCAAAACAAGGCATTTATCCCTCGTCAATCTAGGAGAAGGATTCAGAGGTTTGCATAAAAAGAAAAGAATCCTTGATATCCATCATCTCATCATGCCCATCAAAGCAGAACTCTCATCTCTTGACTACTATGAAAAAAACAGATACCATCGGATCACCCTACAGACTTGGCAGTGGATGCTGCCACATTTGCTCAAGATCATCTGACCACAAGAACTGAAAGCAATGTGGAGAATGCAGTGGATTCTTATGTGTTGACCACATGGAGGCTCATAAGGAATGAGACTCCATCTACTTCTTTAAATGTGCTAGTTAGAGAGAGGGTTATTTTTGTTTTGTGGTTGGTGGTGTGTTTTTTTTCCCTAAAACACTGAAGAATTGTTCTTGGTTTCTGAACCATTTGGAATAAAAGATAATCAGACTCACTCAATTCCTTTGTTTCTTTTCCACTCCTAACCAGTGTCTTACTTATGAAGAAGCATTTAAGTAATACTTAACACTAATATAAAAGATCAGCACATTGACTAAAAATACATGTTGTGGACTAGCAATTAGATCTCTCTCCTACTTTGCTTGTAATCAGGGCCCCTAGTTTGACCATATTCATACTTTGACATGCTCTACGTTTAACCCAAGTTATTATTTTTCAATGTGCTGTTAAATTCTTTTTGTGGTTAAAAGGTAGGTCTTAAACCTGAAGATGGAGAAGAGGCACTCTTTCTGATCTCCTTTTGGGAAAGTGAACCAATGTGTTGGCTTTGCTGTTGAGAACCATGCCTTCAATTCCCTTTAGCCTGTATTTGAATTGGATACATGTAGGTGGAGGACAAAACATAACTATGTTGACTGAAGGAAGGCAATCTTTGATACGGTGGGGACCTGTCCAGATGAGGGCTTTCTGCACAAAACCCAGAACCTTAAATTAGATCTGAAAGTGCATGGGAAGACAGTGTAGGTTGTAGAACACTGGCATTGTATGTGGTCTAGTGCTTATTCCACTCAGAAGATGGATCATTGTTTTGTACCTGTTACAGTTTCTTCATGAACATCTTGCCTCCGTAGAAGAGAACAGCAGAACACCACAGAGGAAGCAATAAATGTGTGAATTACCATGTCTAGGTCTTCATCTGAAAGAAGTAAGTTGTCTTGCCAACCAGAAATGGCAGAAGCTGGACACTACCATAATTGCAAGATGCAAACACCCTCACTTACAAGCGAAGGGACTGTGCTTATCAGATCCTCAAAGAGATTACCCCTACTATTTGACATTGTGTAGAAAAAGACTTTCCAATCACAGTGTACAAGATTTTCACACTCTCTTCATTCAAATGAGGTGGTTTGCACAAACGTTGACCTTGTTAGACAAATGCCCTCTCACCACAGTGGTATATAAGTGGAAAAAGAGTAGGGAGAGAGTAAAGAAGGGATTAATATTTGATGTAATTCTGCCTCTAGAGGAACTTGGCAGGAACTGGATTTTGGGTTTCATGAGGAACTTCAGTTTCAAAATTTGCAAGATAGAATTAAAACACTTTTTGCCAAAAGTATCTGATAGTAAAAGTAGTATATAAAGATTCTGTTTCAGGCAGGCTGAATGTTGAGTGAACTGAATGTTTCAACTTAATTGAAATGCTTCTTAACTTTTCTTTCAAAACAAATGTTTGTTGAAACTGACACATTAATCAAAAGCAGAACATTTTGCAGAAATCAGTATTTTGTGATAGGAAAAAGTGTTCCATCAGAAAATTTCCAATCTCCCCAACCCATCATGTCTTATCTGATTGTGCCCTTTAAATTATAAGTTTTTTGGGGGCAGAGACTGTCATTTACTTCTCATGTTCAAAGCACTAAGTTCTGGTCAAACAGTAAATTCAAAGTCTTCAGAGAACATTTTGGCATTCTTAAAAGACTCAGACATTAGCCTAGAAATTCAAATGAATGGAACTATACAGTTAAAAGAATTCAAATATTGAGCTTCAGTGCCACACATACAATCCTTAGAACAGGTGTATGAGACCAGGGTACGAAAGGGCAAGACCAGGGGACAAATCCTCAAACAATGCACATCTCCACTGAAGCAGTGAAATTATAGAAATTGCACAGTGATCTTACTGAAATATTTCAGTCAAGTTGATAGTAACTGTATGCTACTGTAGCTTTTAAAGCAGGATGTACACTACAGCATACTACTGTACTTGTGTTTTATTTTGAGCCATTTAGGATGGGTGAAAAAGATAATCTCTGTTCTCAGGAATGACCTGATTCAAAACAAGTGTTTGAGCTAGATACCCAACTATACAGAAATATACTGTAGTACAACTGATCTTAATGGCTAAATTAAACTTTAGATAGTTGATACACCTGTGCACCAGATGGAATACAAATCACACTTACATAGCAGAAAAATACATTAAAAATCAAAGTGGTATACTTCAGAGTTTCTTGATTCAACAAGAAGTAACATAAGTCAAGAGAATTTAAGACATTCCCAGCTCCACACTATGAACTACTTGAAGTCCTTACAATCAAACGTCCTTCATCAAAATGTCTCCATCTTACACACTAGGCAGACAGGAATACTAGATGGCAGATTGGCAGAAGATGGAAAGGCAGTAAGGTTGCATGGGCACCAAGAACTGTGTATTTCCAGTCATTTGTAATTTTTTTCATACACTGATCTTATTTTGATGTCCAACAAAACCTTACAAAGTTTTTAGAAAACTGCAAAGTTTTTATAGAGTTTTTTCCCCCACAACAAGCAGACATTTATAACTGCACAAGTTGGCTTTATTTTTTGTATTTTGGTTTGGAACTTCAATTTTAAAATTGATTGCCAAGACACTGTCAGTATATATAGATGTATAGACAATTAGGATAGTGCTACTTAACTAACATGCTATATTAATAAATGAGAAAGTGCTCCCATTTTAATTGCTGCACAGGGAAAAAAAACCCACACTGTAAGAGAGACACTATCTGCATGCTTAGAAACTGTGCTACGTTAAGGAACTATACTTTGTACAAGTTTTTATTTTCCTGCTGATAAAGGTAGTGCAAAAT